AGGTGGCGGTTATACTACCTACGAGTACTACCAAAGAGGGTTGACGTCAGGCAGACGGCCAGTCGTAAAATTATGCCAAATCCTATTGCAACATGATTTTGTGTTCAAACAAAACATGTTACGCCGACCCCAAATAGTAGGGATAAGGGCAGAAAGATGATGATGAGTGTGTGAGACATTGGGTCATTGAGCTACTGTAATAAGTGTATGACACTAAATTTTTCATGGTCGTGGAAAAAGTACTTCAGTTTCATGGTCTGATCATGACTACAAAGTTTTAGGTACACCATCCCTTACACCCCGTATGTATGAGTTGATATGTACCGCTCTACAAGTGAACGTAGAATATGAGCTACAGTTGTTTATGAATCATCATCGTCCTGCCTTTATCCTAGATTATTTGAGGTCGGCGCAACATGCTTTGTTAGAACATCATGCATCAAACGATTTGGCTACATCATGCAGAATCATGTATCAAACGATTTGGCTATGTTTTCTGACCGGCCGACCCTGCCTTACTTCAAGCCTCTTTGGGAATACTATTGCAGGTGGTATCGCCGCCACCGTGGTGCGGTTGACCATATTTAGCCGAGCTCAAAAAATGACGCCTTTTACGAAACACCCAGATAGAGGAGGTATCAGTATTCTTAGTCGCTACTACACGGTTAAAGTAGTTTATGATTATGACTCATTAAATTAGTCCTAACCTAACTTAAGTATAGCTTAGCACCTAATATATAATGATAGTTTCTATTGGTTTTGACCCATATCTTTTATGGTAGTTGGTACATAACATACAATTTATATGAGCATGCTACAAAACTATCTTTCCGACCGTGTTTAACTTTGAATTTCTTGTCCAATCCAATCATAATAAAATCGGATGGTGTGCTCTGTTTCAAATTACAATATTGCAATTATGATATAAAAGTTTAGAACCATTGAAAGTACCTACATAACTTATCCGAGCTATCTACGTCTTCTGTAATTTAGTGTCACCTTTCTAAGCCGATTTTCCAACAGATTTCATAAACCTAACATAAACACGGTTAAGGTGAATTCCGAGAAAAGTAACGGTCAGTCTACGCGCCGACAAAATGCTCCAGTTCCACAATAAAAATGTCTAGTCTTTTTATGACCCCGCGTCACCTTAGATTTTTGTCAAATTCTTTCTGCTAGTATTTTTAACTGCCTATTTATGGCGTGTTAAGTCACTTTTCTGGTCAAAACTAGGCGTGCCCGCGAGAAAACTCGTAAATCTTTAGTGCCTACGTGTCGCAAAAATGTATGACCTAACTTTATTTTGTTAGTTACTATGCAATTTAAGAGCGGAATATGTAAAACCTCACACTGGAGGAGGATAAGAAAAGGGCGATGCTAGATATGAAATAGATATTCAATAGATAGTAATAATATTACGGTCTGTTAATAAAATCTTTCCGCCAGACACTTAAGAGAATTTTGATTGTACCTACAACATGTCTCTCTTAAACTGTTTGAACCAATCAGGAAATTTTGCGTGATGATTTGTCCCTCGTTGCAATGTGTCTTACGATGTGTTTCGGAAAATTTATTATTTTTGTCATGAACTAGTTTGCAGTTCTTTTCCTGACGCACACCCTGTATACATAAATGTCGTTGCGTTGCTCATCCTAAAGTAATGAGGATCTCTATAAACAGGACCTCCAATCATTGTTTACCGACCGTCAGACATAAACACTCAACATGTCGTCAATATAGGCTACAAAAAGTTATAGGTTCTTAACCGCTTTCTAAACACACAAATATATCAATATCAATCCATACTTTATGCACAATTAATACAGTACTTTCTGGATAAACAGATTTAATATCATTGATTTACAATCCAAACTAAGCGTAGGGAAATACGTGCTTAATTCAAATTGTACGTACATTTGCTATTGCACTGACCCTGGGAACCGATTTGACATAAGTTGCTGGTTATCTGGTGTTCATTGTAATTACGCCTTTAAAAAACCAGCAATGTATGTCAAATTGGCTTTGTCTGCATGGTAGTGTAGCCACTTACATTAGACACACAATCGAAGCCTTCGCATTATTGAACGTTGGAAATTTATCAAATACCCTTGACAAATTAAACTTTTGTTGTTGTCGAACGTGTTAAATTATGTTAAGCATCTGTCACTTCACCTCTGACCGGTAGATTATTTGCTGACTTAAGGCGGACTATAATAAATGCGGTTTCGTTTATCTTGTAAACCTATTTGGTTTTCCCGTTAGAAAGGCTTCCATCCTCTCAACACTTTCATCTCCATTTGTAACTTTTAGTTGTTGTGAATAAGGACTTCGTGTCATAATGTTGTAGGCCGAAGATTTTTCCAAATTCCAAAGTTATGTTCAAAAGAATATTTGTATACAGTTCTGTATCGAGCCATAGAGGACAGGATACCCTAGTGATGCAGAAAACAAGGGAAAACGTTTGTATGAAAACTTGGCTCTAGCAAACACTTTTGTCTGCCAGACAAAGGTATAAGTAGGTAAAGTAGTTACTCTTATTAAAAGTGATACACAACTATCAGAAAAATAATTTTAATTCGCTCTCCCCACAGTCTACTTTAGCGAGAGAGATGTTGAATATAATTGGTACGCCATACCATTAGTACTTTAGTCAAGATTTCTTGTAGTAATTATTGACTGTCTGTCATTTACATTAGGCATTTTATAGAAAGGAATTTTAACTTTCGCTTAAGCAGGCAACGGGTAATTTCATCTTGTAACTGTTATTGCTTATTATGTGTTAAGTTTGATATCAGGAACAAAACAGGTATAATAATTGCCACAATTACCCACACATTAGTGGATTTTATTAGTGCTGGTAATAATTGAGATAATTTTTATGTGTTAAAATCGCAGCGCTTGGATGCGCAAATTTTACAAATTCCAATGCAGTGTACGATAATATTACACGTAAGAACATATTTTTATAGCTGGATAGTAATTGGTTTGGCAGTAAACACATTGCAAATACTCTTTGGATCCCTTTGCGGAGCAGTGTAAATATTTTCAGGGCGTGTTCTATCTAGACTTGCTACTGAACAACTTTTCTTTACAGCTTGTGTGTGGAATATGAAAAAACCTCCTATTCTTGTAATGATATTTTGAATAGGATATCTTATCCCAGTCAGTTTTCACGTCAAAAATGTTTAAGAAAAGTTGTTCAGTTTCATGTTTAGTTAGAACAAACCCTGCAAATAATAATTTACAGTACTCCGCCAAACATTCTATATTAATTTGATGGTTTTTTGCTTAAGTATATGTATTCTACTTTTAAGCATAGTTATTATTTCAAGAATTCTCAGGATGTAATGCATGTTTCTATTTGCTGGATCTAATTTGTTATTTATTGTTGGCAGGACGGCCGTGACAGCGGTGTCATGGCACCCCCAGTCGGGGCTCCTGACGTCAGTCGACCGGGGCAAACGCGCCATCATCTGGGGCGACTTGTGACAGGCCTGGGAGACGCCTCTCCCCCCTCCGCCGGCACCCGAACAGGTAAGATATCAGCTGTTTTAGAAGTAGAGGCTCCTGAATCAGTCGACCGGGGCAAACGCGCCATCATCTGGGGCGACTTGTGACAGACCTGGGAGACGCCTCTCCCTCCACCGCCGGCACCCGAACAGGTAAACAAGATATCAGCTGTTTTAGAAGTAAAGGCTCCTGGTGTCAGTCGACCGGGGTAAACGCGCCATCATCTGGGGCGACTTGTGACAGGCCTGGGAGACGCCTCTCCCCCCTCCGCCGCAACCCGAACAGGTAAGATATCAGCTGTTTTAGAAGTAGAGGCTCCTGACGTCAGTCGACCGGGGTAAACGCGCCATCATCTGGGGCGACTTGTGACAGGCCTGGGAGACGCCTCTCCCCCCTCCGCCGCCACCCGAACAGGTAAGATATCAGCTGTTTTAGCAGTAGAGACTCCTGACGTCAGTCGACCGGGGCAAACGCGCCATCGTCTGGGGCGACTTGTGACAGGCCTGGGAGACGCCTCTCCCTCCACCGCCGCCACCCGAACAGGTAAACAAGTTATCAGCTGTTTTAGAAGTAGAGGCTCCTGACGCCAGTCGACCGGGGTAAACGCGCCATCATCTGGGGCGCCTTGTGACAGGCCTGGGAGACGCCTCTCCCCACTCCGCCGGAACCCGAACAGGTAAACAAGACATCAGCTGTTTTAGAAGTAGAGGCTCCTGACGTCAGTCGACCGGGGTAAACGCGCCATCATCTGGGGCGACTTGTGACAGGCCTGGGAAATGCTTTTCCCTTCTCCGCCACCAACCGTACAGGTAAACAAAATGTCAGCTGTTTTAGAAGTAGGTAGAGGCTCCTGAAATTCGTGATATGTTCTTTATCAGCCCCAATTATACTACAGAGTTAAGTATTTACTTTACGGATTGTCGCTAGGTACTTTGGAATTTTGTATCGCTGATATATTTTTTTAGTCTCAATTTCATCTTTCGATACTTATTTTGTATCGTACTCCTTTTCAATTTTACAATTAAATTATTGACACGAAATTCAACACAAATTGTTAGGCTGGCACAAGGATAGAAAGTTAACAATAAACTGTTATGTCTTTATGCAGTGCATAAAATAGTAAATTCTATCTTTATGTGCATAGCTAAGGAGAAAATAAGGTTGATAGGATATAGTACCCAATCGCAGACTTAACAAGCCTAATGAACTTTAGTTATGTTTTATAAAACCCGCGTATTTGGATCACTTCTTCTACTTTTCGAGTGGGACCCGATGAACCCTGTTGTCAGAGCATTTCAACCGACAACTACAAGTAGCAGGACTATGCCATGAGTAAGTAACGACCGCCGTCTAAGTAACCGGGACCGACTTAACGTGCCTTCCGAAGCACGGAACCATCTTGCTTTCGGACAATCAGGTGGTTCAGTCTGCAATGTCCTAACCAGACTGGAAAGAAATTCGCAAAGTGATAGATATCAACTTAAATGAAATGACCCACCAGGAATCGAACCCGGAACCTGCTACGTCGCAGGCAGTTGCACTACCATTGCACCACATCGGCTGTTGGATAACAGATACGAGGGGCATGCCAAAAGTTCTTAGATACTCATTACTCAATGATTGGGTACTGGCAAGTTATACACCATCGTAAACAATGGTTATTTAGTGACATATTTTAAATATAGAACATTTTTGAATTCAATTATTTTTTCGTAAACATGCTAATTTTTATCACCATCTGGAGGGAATTTCCTTGCAACAATGGAACTGAGTCGACGTGATTTACGCGCTATGATTTACTACGATTATAAAAAAGGTTTAAAGCCCCAAGAATGTTTTGAACTTTTAGTTACTACTTTTGGTGAGTCTGTTTGTTCACGAGCAACAGTTTTTAATTGGTTTGCTGATTTTAAAAAAGGACGATTAAGTTTTGAAGATGAAGCGAGGACAGGCCGGCCGCCAACAGCGGTCACTCTAGAAAATGTTCAAGCAACTGAAAAATTGATTCGTGAAAACCGACGTATTACATATCTAGAGCTCGAGCGAGAACTGGGCATTGGATCAGCAGCGTTGCAAACCATCATTCACGATCACCTTTCTCTACGCAAGCGTTGTTCAAGATGGGTACCGCATAAACTTACCGATGAACAAAAAGCCGGCCGGATAGATTGGTGCCGATTTATGATTGAGACATTCAACGGGGGCGAGAAAAAAAACGTATACGATATACTCACCGGTGACGAAACATGGCTGTATAACTACGACCCGGAAACAAAATGGCAATCGACTGTATGGTGCTTCGATGATGAACCAACACCAACAAAGTTTCGTCGAACGCGCAGCACGCAAAAACAAATGGTTGCCTCGTTTTTTTGTAAGACCGGTCATATCGCTACTGTGGTGCTAGAGGATCAAAAAACAGTTAATTCGGAGTGGTATGTATCAGTTTGTGCCCCAGCAGTATTATCATCCTGGTGTGAGAAGCGTCCGAAGTCAGGAATCCGGCATCTTCTTTGGCACCATGACAATGCCTCGCCGCACACGTCCGCCAGAACACTTGATTTTTTTAGTAGAAAAAATGTGTCTATTCTGCCTCACCCACCATATTCGCCTGACTTAGCACCTTGTGATTTTTACTTATTCCCCAAAATAAAAGAAAAATTTAAAGGCAGGAGATTTGAGACCAAGGAAGATGCACTAGCTGCCTATAACTTCGAAATTTCCGAGGTATCTGGAAAAGAGTGGGCAGAGGTGTTTTCTAAGTGGTTTAAACGCATGGAAAAGTGTATACATGCTGAAGGTGAATACTTTGAAAAGATAGATATAAATTTTAAATAATAAATATAATAATTTTCTAATATCTAGTTTTTTTTGGCATGCCCCTCGTACAACTTGAAAATTCATCTGATTAGAATCTTCAGTGTCCCGTTAACACTTTATACCTACATTAATTTGGTAATTTAGTTTTATTTAAGGTGGCGTATTTATGAGCTAAACTGGACTAAAGTTGGAACTCCTACGAAAACTGTAAATAGTAATATAAACTGAGCGAAATTATAAAGAGATGACTAATAAAATAGCTAATGTATTGTTAATATCTTTGTGATAAATATTATCATACAAAAAGTAGAATTGGGATATTTTTATCCCTCTGTTGTAACTAGCTTTTAGGAGTGTTAGTGTTTTTCTCCGTATTGAAGTAAGAGCGGATCAGAAAAACGCGTGAGTGAGAAAACGGGAGATAAACGATTCGAAGGTACTCTGATACTTTGACGGCTGGAAATAAAGCTCGAAAATACGTGGTGTAAGGGGTAGGTGTAACCGTAGTACATATAATATCATTGGGTGTACTACTACTACCATAAACTTTAGGGATGCCGGCGTGATATATGTAATATATGTATGAACAAGTAGTACCGCGTTGCGTATCTGTAGGCAGTCTATAACTACCTAAAAGATGGACTATAAATACAATAGTCAAGCCACGAAACAAACCGAGGCGTGGCTAATACCGCGTAAAGAACATTTTAATGCAGCATTGTATTCCACTTTTGCGGTTTTTGTTCGCGTTCAATGCTCTGTTTATGAACTTGTCTGTGGTAACTAAGTCGTGCTATGACTAAATTTTGACAAGTTATGAAAAAATAAAGGTTTGAGGATAATACCTGTGTCTGTATTTTTGAACCTATCCGTTCCGTTAAATGTTCTTCTACTGACTGACCAAGCACCCCTCGATATTCCCCTCTAATTGTTCACATTTGCCTGGCTTCGCTATACCTCCTACTCTATACCCCTTGGAACTATCTCTTTCTCACTATTCGCTTCAATTTCTTTGCAATGGGGAAGGAATTTTCAAAATACCTAGCTTTAAAGATTCGGCCCTACTTTCCTACCACTCGCCAGATCACCTAAAAGTAGCATCAAATGTGATTCATTTTTACAATTACTTACAAGAATAGCTCTAAATCGCAGTTTCGTCTAGACTACAGGCAGACTCAGTCATAATCGTAATAGGACATTAGCCTCGTCAAAATTATACCTAGGAAACTGTGTAGTATTACGCGAATAATAGTCACACGTACACTATGCAAGAAGCTTTTGGAACACATTATCGTAAAATGTCTGACCCTGTTCTTCTTACAAATTATTTTGTTGCTATGTGCTTTATTGTGCTGCTATGTGCTGAAAACGAAAAAGATTTTTCGATAGGTAGGCAGACTTTTAACAACAAAAAGTACTTTACGAGTAGACGTTTTAGATTTTATGAAAGACTTCTCTGGTTTCAGCTGCGGGTAGCTACCCCTTTTTCCGTGAAAATTTAAAAGTAAATAGTATCGTGTGACACTTTTGTTCTGTAATTATATTCTGATTCACGAATCCTCCTTGAAATTAACTATCACAAGTACAACTGCAAATCAGGTCGTTTACCGTACGAAAACTTTCCTCAACTTCGTTTTATATTTCACTAGAAAGGGACCTTACGTTGGGTAATTATTTCTACTAACAAACAAACAAACAGGCCAGTTGGCGTAAACAACTGTTAGCACCTATCAAAAAGTGGTTAGCCGTGTGAGTATTTCACTTAGCTCGGTTAGACTGACGCAAAATGCCTGGAATCGATTAACTGTTACCCACTTAAACCTTTAATGAGAATACAGTGAAGACGCAACGAAAGGAACTCTTAGAAGAGTTATTCCACATTCAATCTTCTATATTTATTTCAAACTTCATAATTGTTAACCTTCCTTACCCACTTATCTTTCCTTACCCTTATTAGTACATTGATGTTCAATTGCACCTCCAATAGGAAGTTTTCACTTCTTTTTTTTTTAAACTCTTCCCTAGTAGTAAGATAGATGGCGCTGATCTTGGTACGTTAGACGTAGGTACATTTCAGTCATTCATATTTTTCTACATCACTTCCCATTTCTTTATTTAAATCCCACCATTCCTTTTTGAAGCCTTCATGCAATTCAATCTTATAAAGATTAAATTAGATCAGTATACGCGGCTTGCTACAAAAATTGTTTAGGTAAGAATGTCCTTTTAGAACATTTTCCCCAAATTTCAAATTTATCCTACTTTAATAAACAGTTAATATTGGTTTTTTAGAAAACTTTTTTAAGCACAATAGTTAGAATTTTCGGAGCGAGGTGGAAATTCCTCCAGAAGCTTCTTCCTAGTACCTACTTTTAATTACTTACCTACCTATTCTGTACTTCGGCGAAAGTAGTGGGATGGCATTTAAATTCTAGTCCGGCCTTACTTAACCCACTGCCTTACCTACTAAACTTAATGTTATTTAAAGGAATATAACTCCTTTGTCTGTCACCATCAGTCGTAACCGTTAAATAAAGCCAGACATAACCGAAAAGGTTAAATATTATGAATGAAGCGATACGGGTCGCTAGAAACTTGCATATTTTAAGAAACAATGTGCGACTACAATGGAACTCGTAAGTGTAACTGGTGCGTTGTTAATTTGTGTATTATTCCGACCAGACAGCCAATATTTTATTGAGAGTGATTCTAATATAAAATTCAGTTTAATTTCTCTCTTCCATTAGGTGCCGCTGGTTTCGCGGTCCTTCCCTTCTACAGAATGTCTAAGTGATACAAAGAAAAAATGTAGAGCCAGGATCTCCTTAGCTACCATTGTTAATTTTCACGCTCCATAATGTTCTGACAGTCAGCGTTACTAGTGTGGGAGGTCCATTTTCTCTTCTTCGAATACCTATTAAAAAGCGATATTCCAGATTCCAGGTAGCTAAGGATGTCAATAATCTAGGTTTTTTCTTTGGATCACTTAAACAGGGCATCCTGTATAACTCAATGTAGACCCCGCAAGTTAGCAATAAATCTGCGGTGTATGAAATTCCACGAGACATCGAAAATGCACTTTACGTGCTTTTACGATCGATCCGGCTCCGATAGCCGACCCGATTGTTCCGTTTTCAGATAATTTAACAATTAGATATACAAGAGGTTTTCAATGCACAACAATAGGTGTTCCGTACAATACTGGCGACGCCGCGAGTGAAAGCTTTACTTTCGACTTTCATTAAGTTTTTGTATGAGTGTATGTATGGGTCGCGTCGCGCGGCTGGACCATATTGTCTTGCCAGTCGCCACTCTCGATGTTTCCGATGTTGTTACCCGACTGCCTCAAAAGAAGGGTTATGCTTTTTGGAAACCTGCAAAATTTTCCGCCTTAGGCAGGATTTGACCCTGCGACTTTCGGTATCGAAATCAGTTGCAAAAATATCCCGGTTGATGGAGCCCTGCCACACGTTAGTGGCCAAGATAGGTACACTTGCTTAATTCGCAGACTAGAATTGAGCCGCGGTAGACTATTTGGTAAAGTCGTCGGCAGTACTGATGCCAAATGTCGTAGGTTCAAATTCTGCCTGTAATGGCAAATTGGAAGTTTTCAAAAATTTTCTAATGTTTTTGTGTACCTTACACGGGAACTTTTTAAAATTTGGTATTCGATGGTTGGTTATGTTTTTTTAAAGTATGTGTGTGGGTATGTATGTGGACAAGTAAATTCTCTTTAAC